CCATAACAAAATATTCAAAAACACAGTCAAACCTACCTACCTACCACGAAATCACCTCACTTGCATAATTTGAAAACTAAACTAGATACTGTAATTGCATTCAGTGACTTGGATTTGAATACAGGAGATTAGTAATTGCATATACAGATATGCAATTGCATGAACATTACAACCATGAATGTGAGATACCCACTTCACCTCACTTTCAGAATGAGAAACCCCCTTCATCTCATCAATGTGAGAAACCTACTTCCCCTCTTGCCCCAAGTCATCACCACAGAATTTCAATTAACAATAAAATAAAACATAGTGTTGACTTACCTTCACAAGCAACTATTACCAAATGCTTTCAGAAGGGCTCGATTTTAGATGAGAGGAGTGCCAACGCAGTTACTGGAAAAACTGATTTCCAATTCCTATTATCAACCCGAAATACTAACCCTAAAATTTTCCCCAAAATCCAAACCCTAGAATAGGGGGTTTTTGACAATGATGACAAAGAAGAGAGAGAGGTTGCAGAGAGGAGGAAGAAACTTTCTGCAGGAGGAGTTGAAGAAAAGATTATCAGTTTGAAGTTTGAAGTTGCAGAAAAGATTATCAGTTTGAGGAAGAAGAACGTCGAGTGAGCGTGAACGTGAAATCGTTCCCCTGTTCACATCAGCAGCGCGTCAAATTTTTTACCTGTTGACCAGGTCAGCAGGTTTCCCTTGTTTTTAAAATAACCTCATGTGATGGGCTGTACCGGTGCACCTGATGCACCACAGAAGGACAGGCGAGAAGACATAACAAAGAAAACTGACACAGCAAATGGAATAGAATTTTATTTTCTTTAAACTCAGAAAGATATTGGTGAACCAAAAATTAATTCAAAACATTCATAGATTAAGAAAAAAAAAAATACGCTAATCATTTGAGCAAATAAAATAAAGGTTGAAAGTAAATACCTGATTTTCCGAAACCACCCATTCCAAAAATCTTGTGCGCCCTGATGCAAATATATCTTCTATGAACGGTAGTTGGAGGTTCTTAGTTGCAGATATAACAGCAAATCCCTTTGAAATGGTAAACATGATCACTCCAAATATGACGATCCTCCCAACCCAAGAATCTTTTCTGACCCACTGAAATTGATAAAACAAATATGAAATCAATATTTTTATCTTCCTTTTGGTCATAAATCCTGCTGTCAAACTAAAAATTAAAGAAAAACTTACCTGACTTTTCTTTCTCTGTTTAGGCTTTGGCCGCTTGATGTATGTATGAGGTGAAGAATTAGAGAGTTTTTCCTTTCTAATTTTATAGCCAAAAAGATCACCAAAGAATTAGAGACTTCTAAATCGATGATGAAAACTGATGTGGCTTTATGTTTATATAGCAGAGGTGGTGTGAATTTTTCTTTTTCTTTTCTATATCTTTTCTTTTTAAACTTTTAGAAACTCAATAGTGATAAGGCATTCACGTGCTCTCTGCAAACTCCCTCTCTCATGTTCATATTCCAATGGATGGATAGACACAAGACTTTTTTCACTCGTTATCTGTCAACTGTCAGTTATTTTTTTGTTTTCAGTCTGAAAGACTAATTCACTTGCTGAAACGCAATGGTAGGTAGCAATTCAAATGCTAAACCCGAAGACATGCACCAGTCTCTAGGCTTGGCTTTTACCAAAAAGTTGAAGACACCAGTCAATTGGCTATCACTTTTTCAATCCTGCTTTGTTGGTAAGATTTGGAAAAAGATTTTGTAATGTCCCAAGCACGAGAAAGTTACTTGATAACGTGGAAAAAAGTACAAACTTCCAAATTCCAATTCATTTCAATCCTAATTTTTTTTTTAAAAGACTTGTATGCATCACAAATTAATTATGTCTGACACGATTAAATAAAAATAACAAATAGTGTTATTTTTGTTGCATGCAATTTCCTTTTTAATTTCTTAGGCCTCTCCATTGTAGCATGAAAAGTCACAACTACAAGACAAGATAGTGTTTGTCTTCAGATAAGCACTCAAGGCCATCCTTGCCTTTAGAGTTCAAGAGGAACTTTCCGAGCTTTAAATTTAGGGAAATGACCTCCAATGCCACCCATTTGTTAATTTTAACTAAAAATACCACTCTTTTCCAATTTTTTTACAACTAACACCTTTAAATATAAAATTATTGCCCACTTATTGTACCCATATCAGTTTTTCAGAAATTGGCTCTCTCTCTCACTGTCTTCGCTCTTTCTCTTCGGCCATCTCTCTCCCTGGTGTACCTCTCTCTCTTCGACGCAGTGCTCTTTCCCCGTCAACAGTGGCCGTTCATCCAAGCGGAAATCCATCGTTGACATCGACGAGGTACTGTTCATAACCATTTTATTTGAAATGTGGGGTTTTTGTGAAGGTTTATGGTGTCTGGATTTCTAGGAAATTGGTTTGGTTGCTCAGAAATTGGGTTTGGGTTTATGGGTTTCTATGAACTAGGTAATAACGCACACCCACTGTCACTGGCTCACAGGCACTGTTCACAGAAATCAAACTCTTCATTTTGTCACAGAACGTTTGGGTTTCGTTCGCTGGGTCAGTCCCAACTATCTATATTGTTTGATGAGATTTTAACAATTGAAATGATTGTATTAAACATTCTTATGCTGGACAGAACACAAACATTCTTATGAGATTTGAACAATTGTATGTCATTTTCTGCATATTATGAGCTTTTAGTTCTGAATTCATAAATTCAAATTAAAAAACTTATAATTTGATAAGGCTGAAGCAAAAACTTCTGACATTATCAATATGGAACTAATAGGATGAATGTCACAGCTGGTTAGGTATCAGCTATCCATATGTGATGTGCCATGCCTTAAATGTATGCAATTTAGTATTTTAAAATCCTGTATTCCAATTTAATGTAAATGGAGTGTTGTAGCATACGAAATATATTATCGGCATCATCTCTAAATTTGGTTA